CCTACGTCTCCCCCAGGGCATCCAGACTCCCCTCTCACTCCCACTCCCCGTCCTCCCCCTACACCCAGCCCGGCCGAAGCTGGAGCCCTGCTGCCGACGAGGAGGAGGAGGAGGAGGACTCTGACCAGAGCGCTCAGCCCCTCAATCTGTCCTCTGGGCACAGGGAGCGAGCCCTGCAGCTTCCTGAAAAGAGGAGCAGCAGCAGCAGCAGCAGTGGTAGAAGTAGTTGTACTAACAGTAGTGGTAACCAAGGAGATGGACTCCCACCAAAAAGCAAAAAACCCAAAGCTCTGGAGATCTCCGGCCCGTCCCTGCTGCTGGCGGGGACCGACATCGGCTCCATCGCCCTCAACAGCCCAGCGCTGCCGAGTGGCTCCCTCACTTCTGCCTTCTTCACTGCACAGGTGAGGCCCTTTACCTGAACAACACACAACCACAGCTCCCTCTGGGCAGCACGTTGAATGTAAGAGTGACGCTGTTTACTCACACGTTTTTAGACGTGAGTCAGGCGGCTTAAAGCCTCTAAATTGTGCTTATGTTTGTGATTTGGGGACTAGTGACTCATTCATCTAGTCTCCTGAGGTGCTTTCCAGACCTTTGCCCAACAGATGCTTGGACAGAACGTATACAGTTAATCAGTGATACCACGATACGCCCTGCGCACTTCTAAGATTGCACCGAAACTTGCCTCATCTCTATCTAGTCGTGACATGTTTACACACCTCACTGCTCCCCTTTGACAGACTTCTCGTATTTCTGCTCTCAATAATTGAACACAAACTGGTTCCTGTCACCCTCCTGCCAGCCTCAGCTGAAGCACACCGAGCCCAATAATAGTCAGACCTCAGAAAGACAATAATTGTGTGATGCTATCAATTTCTGTCCCCTCTGAGTAATGGGATGGCTAGCGTGGAGGATGATGTCAGTGTCCATAAAGCTCTCAGAGAGCAGCCGCAGACATCTGAAGCAGCTTGGCATGTGTTTGTGGACACAACACGGCTGCATTTATTTACTAGTCACTTGAGCCAGAAGTCCCTCAAGCAACAACAACAACAAAGTAGGTATGGTCTTAGTCTACATCATCAAGAAATGTAGTCTAAAACTTAATAAGTTAAATAAGTTTGTGCAATATTTTTGATACAGTTCTGTGGCTTGTAAACCAACATTACTGTCAAAATGTGCTGCAAATAACAGACCTTGTGGAAATATGTCTATGCTCAAATTAAATCAGAGACATAACTGCTCAAGGAAAATGTACATTTGCTCTTATGGAAGTGTGGTAAACTCAGCAGATGGCAATTTCTTGCTTTTGCCTCCGCCGGCTGTTCAGCCAGTTGACGAATCCTTCACTTTTTTACAGTCCAGTTTTAACAGTGTTTTCTGCCCCAAATTTTAGAGCCAAATTCATCGAGCCGTAACGTTTTGAGGTTACGGCAAAGATCAAAACGAACCAAAGCCTCTGCCACAAGCATCGACTGGTATTTAATTATCTATTTTAGCTAATCATGTGTTTATATTGGAGTTGTTACAAAGGGAAACGACTGCTGCATCAGAAGAGCGGGTTATCGTTGAGAAAGGCATTAATGCTGCATTCGCTCTTGTCTGTTTATGAGTGTGCAAAAAAAAAAAAAAAAAAACGAGATCAGAGGAAAACAAGCGATTTACAGAAATCTTCTGCAAGTCCAACCTATGAGAGGGGGGAAGAGGCCCTAAGTGATGCCATATGCTCCAATAATTCCATTAATAATGGGAGCAGGGCTGGGTCCCTCCGCAACACTGGCTCACTTCTCCGAGGTGACACAGGGGAAAGTCGGGGGGAGGGGGGAGAGAAGACCAGGGGAGAGAGAGAGAGAGAGAGAGAGAGAAAGAAGGGGGGGAGAAATTGATTTCATATGTTTTCTCTCTAGTCGGTGTTCCAAGTGCTTGAGGACCACTGCCTACCACTGCCTACTCTCCTCCCCACCTCTGCACCCCCTCCCTCAATCAACAACAACCCTCCTCCTCCTCCTCCTCCTCCTCCCATCACCCCTGTATTCTGGGGGAGAAACCACAGACTTCCTTCCTGCTCCATCAGTTTGTTTTTCCAAACGCCAATACGCGGCCATTTACCATTTCAGCATGTTTTGCATTACCGAAGCCCTCAGAGCAATGTTCTCCGACCAGTGGGTCTCTGTGTTTTTCTTTTAAAAAAAATGTTGTCTTCACTGGTTTCTCTTACTTATATGAAAATCTCCCTCCCTCTGTGTCCCCCCCCCCCTTCCCTCTCAGACTCCCTCGGGTTTGCTGCTGGCTCACAGTCCACTGTTGTCAGGTATCCACTTCTGGAGCAGCCTGAGCCCCGGCGCTTCGCTCAGCCCCGCCCGGCTGCAGGGCCCTGGTTCCCTATTCCAGGTAAGAAATGCACGGCAGGTGTAGACGCGCAGCTGAAGACAGAGGGCTAAAAATAGCAGGAGGAGGTGTACTTTAACAACTGCCGTTTACTGGTAGCGCTTTAAAGCAGGGGAGGAAGTTGTGAGGTGAAAGGAAGCAGTGCATGCAAAACAAGTGCTGCTGTGAAATCCTCATTCTTCCCAGCGGTTGTTATAATCAAGTAATTAAAGATTAGGAAAGGATTAGTTATTATGTATGTAAGTTAACCATTTTCTTAATAATTATGCCATGAGTATGAACAGTTAGCTCCAGTTTGTTGTCACATAACATTCAATGGAATCATCTTTTATCGTAGCATCTCTATGATGTGTCATATTGTGACACTTCATAGCAAGTTTTTGAAAATTGCACAGATCCCTACAGGGTTTCTTTCAGTTTTTCAGCTCATAATACTGCAAAGATTTCACCATGACTGTATAACTCCTGGTTTTAGTGCTGTATCAGTGTAGCTTTAAACGCAGCTGCTGTCCACGTCAGGAAGAAGGCTCTCTCTGCAATCTGAGAGAAACAAACAAATGAAAACACCTGCTGAAGCACAATATGCGTCATAAAACACAGTAACCCGCAGCCAATCCTTGCTTACAGGCTTCAAATCAGTCTTAAAGTTTCCAGCATCTCTGAAAGTGCCTCAGCATTGCAACATCAACAGAGCTCTGACCTTTCTCTGACTTGTGGACATACGGTCAGTGTGGTAGCAGAAAGAAATGCTTTCCATTGTTGCGGTGACATTGCCTTAAAAAAAAAGAAGTAATCCACTGGGCCTGCAGTTCCTTAGATGCTGGCAGTGCACGAGGACTCTTGTGTTCACTCTCACAGCCAACAGCAGAACATTTGGTGGGCTTTGCTCGTCTCTGAGATGATTCCAAATTAGCAAAGTAAACAAAGCGGGCGGACTGAGAAGCAGCTAATTATTCTGAAAGAAAACACCTGGAAGCAGCAGAATTATGCAAATATTTAGAAGGACGACTATTGGTTTGTGGTGATGTGTACTTAGGTCAAATTCTAACCAGCTTGTAATGCTGGGAGGCTTTCTAGTTGTGGTGGGGCTTGAGGAAAGGCAAAACCTCTTCATATCTCAACAGCTTTTAGTTTACACCTCCAAGTTTATAACCACCACAAAACACAATAAAATGGATTTCACCATATGGGACCTTTTAAAGTCGAGCCTGATCTTGATTTAGGTTTTTCGAGCAGGTATTTACTTGACTGGAAGCATATGTAAAACTTCAAGACAAGATGTTTTTGTGATTTTCAAAAGTAGCAGACACCGGTGGTTGTGAAACTAGTTGAGACTTAGTAAGCAGGTCCTGCAGAGGTGTCCTGTTTCAGCGCTTGTGAGAGGGAGAGGAAATCCTGTGAATACTTCCTGTTTGAGCCCAGGGGAGCCAGTCTGAACAGGGTGGACTGGTTTGAGAGCTGCTCCTCATTTATGAAACGCACACACACACACACACACAGACACACACACACACACACGACACCGCAGGCACTCAAACACACATACACCACACCGGATTCTTTGTGCCAAAATAGTGTTGACTTCTCCTTCTGTTGTGGAGTTACAGGAGACAGAGACGAAAAGGAAGAGGCACAATGAATAAAAAAACAGGAAACCAGAGCAGTGACAATGCTGCAGTTCCTCACCGGAAAGCAGCTTTCATAGAGCCTCCGTCCCCTCCCCGCTAACTCTCAGCCCCTTTCTCTTCCTCCACAGTTCCCCAGCCTAATCAACGGACACATGCCTGTCCCCCTGCCAAACCTGGAAGGAACACCCTCCTCCCTGCTCCTGTCTCCCACCACCCACAAATCCTGATCCAGGGTCTGCAAAAGGCGTCCCATCATCATCATCCATCTCCCGTTGATAGTTTCTCACAGTCATTGTCATCATCATCATCAGCAGCAGCAGCAATCTCTCATTCGTATTGTCAAACTTTGATTCAGAAAAGTCCTACGCGACAGTATGTGACCTCACTTTTTTGCACTTGAGTTGCTTCAGATTCTAGTGGTTGAAAGCACTTGGTAAAAGCCATACGCCCCGATGTCTGTGAGACGTCTGGCTCTTTGTGATAAAGTACAGCACATTTCCACACGACCCTGTCCACGACGGACAGAAGTGACATGTAGCTAGCCGTAAAAGGCTAGCCAGCCGCTCATTCTGGTTGTTTAATCTTGTACAAAACAAAAAATGTCTTTTTTTTTTTCCCCCCTTAAATGTTAATCACAATGTGAAACTGGTCGTTTCACCTGCGTGGTATTGTATGTAATGTATGCACTATGCTTCTCAGATAGTACCGGCTGTGCCTTGTCGTCTTATTTTTTGTGCTTTATTTCTAAATCTTTTAATGAAGACGAGATTTCAAATCAATGAAAACCTTTGTAACAATTGGTCTTTTTTATACTGGACTTGGTATACAGTATGTATTCTGTATATTTTTTTGTATTGTGAAGAATGTCTTGTCATTTTCAATAAACAAAGCATTGAATGCTTGAATACAGTTCCTCCAGAGTTTCACAGTAGCTGAAACAAAATCCTCCATGCATCAAAGATAAATAAAAAGCTGCTCATGTGATTTCTGTTTAAACTTTAGATTTAATTTTCTTTACTCTGAAAAAAGCTCAAATATGGGAGGGCATCTGCAATGAAATCCCACACCAATAACAATTATCCACAAATAAAGTTAAAGAATATCATACAAAACATCTTTTGTAACACTGTTAAATAGACTGTGACTCAGATCAGATTCACTAGGGGCAGGACTACAGCTAGTGCTTCCTGAATTAGGAGTTCAGTGGCCGTGTGCTTCCTCATACAACAGAGCAGGCATGCAACACAATGATGGAGGCAATCCAGAAAAAAAAATAGATTCATTTTTACAGTTGATGAAAATGGGAATGGCAGACAGGAGAACCATCTGTAATGCACAATGGCAACATCGCAATTTCAACACTGGTAACTCACTTTGTACCTCTTCTTTCTAACAGACCGGAGGAGAAAAATGTGTCAGATTAAGGTGAAAAAAGGACAAGGATGCTGTTAACTGTACTTAAATATTTAGGATTTCTGAAGTATTTAGGAGGCCTAACTAATCCTGTAATGCCCTTGTTAATAATTCTATGTTTCTTTTTTTCCCTGCATTTGTTCATTGGTCACGACAGAGACCGCAGCATCCTGGAATGATATGCCAGCATCCGGCAAAAAAGATGATTTTTTTTTGCACAGAGCTTGGCAGCACTGCTCTCACATTAGCCTCCAGTCAGGATAAAATGATCAGTTATTATATCAAAGCTGGCCTCGAAAACCTTCAGAGCAAATGGTCACAAATGATTTGTGCAGTCGAGTACAGCACCGTGGCAACAGAGACAGAACAACAAACCCCTCTGAGCTGCTACAGAAACATCCCTCCGTCCGTGTGCCTTACACTCCCACGCACATCGAGGAGCTTTGAGGTGAAGTTTTATGTATGAAAATGAAAACAATGACAAAAACATATCACTAAAAATACCACCACTTCAAAAGAAACAAAAAAAAAAAAAGTAATTAAAAATCTATACACATTGCATGTATTCATTAAAGTGACTGAGCCAGTTAGAATTCTAGACAGTAGTTGGATTTAGCAGCAAATTCTCTTCTCAATAAATATAGATGTACAGTATATAAATGTCTCTTTTGAGCCAGGTTCAAGCCACACCTGGGAGGGGAGGGGGAGGGCCGTACTGTGGACAACAGGTTCCCCAAATAGTTTTTTTTTGAGGAGGGGGTGATGATGATCATGATGTTCCACGTCAAGAGGTTACTGATCCGTTGGCAAGACTGTACAGCTCGGAGATCCTTCCCAAATAAAAAAAACATTCAGTCCAGAGATTTTAAAACAGCATGCTTTGTCTTCTGCTCTTTCCGTTTCCTGGTGAGGAAAAACAAAAAGCAAGAATTAAACAGTTTCTGTGTGTTTTTTGTTTTTACAGCAAAGTCACACACTGAGGACACCATTCAGACACCATGGAGCTACGCTAATAATCAGACTCTAATGTATGGAACTACAGCTCCCACAATACTTGGGGGTTGTAAATAGGAAACATAATGCCCTATTTCTAGGCCTATATTTGTTCACGCTTCGGCAAATTAAAAGTAAAGTATGTCACGGAGCAATGAATGATTGAATGTACAGAGAGCTATCGATGGGTTATTTTGATAATGAAACTTGTGATCATTGTCAAGCAACTTCTGGAGCATCTTGATTTAGAGATGTTCACAGTGGATCATAAATAATGAAAAGCTTAATATATGTTTTACTGCATGTGTGTTCTTAGATTTAACTGAGTCTGGACTGGTGTTATCTTTAACCCGAAATGTATCAATTGTGTCAAAGTGCCTTCACTGCCTCTGTGTCACAGTCGCAGCTGCTGCAACTGCTGATCGTGCTGATAAGCAGCCAAATCAATGCACCAGACAACAAAAAACTTGCACTTGTACCTTTCAACTCACTCAGAATCTTAGCTTCTTCCCCCTCCATAACATCCCCCCCGTCATCTCGACTCTTTATTCCTCACCTGATTCGGGGTACGATGAGTTCCGGTAGCCAGGATCTCTCTGCAGCTGCACCTCCTTCAGTGTGAATATGGATATGTCTGCCAAACGCACAGAGTCAGTCAGTGCACCAGCAGCCACATCTTGCCAAATGAACAGTGTCTTTGTTATGAGGCTGTAACTGATCCTCACTGTACACTGCAATATCCTTCAGGTTGTACCTAGCCAAGTCTGCCAAGTCTGCATTACTGCATCACTAGTTCATTACTCACTCTCTGGCAGCGTGTGCACACGTGGCCCCAGACTCCTGAAGTACGACTGTCTCATCGCTTCATCAGCAGAGATCCTCTTTTTCGATTCATACTGAAATTTAGGTCAATGAAAGAAACTTAGAGCCATTAAAGAACATTGGAAAATAATAAAAAAAAATGGGGTCAGCAGTGTGTGATTGTGTTGGCATGCCTGGACGCACTTCTTTCCAAAAATACAGCCCTAACATAGCTGCAAAATGTGTCACGCTGCTTTTAACATCACATTAATTCCTGGCAGATATGGTGAGACTCACTTTTAGGAATGACATCAGCAGGTCGATTCCATCAGTGTCCAACCTGCAAGAGGAGGGGGGGAGAGAGAAAACAGGAGGGAGGGGAGGGTCAGTAAGGTGGGGTGACTCACAGATGCTGGCGAGTGTAAGGAAGGAAGTAGAGTCAACTATTCCACAGGATTTCCTTACAGGAAGAGACAAAGCGCACACACTCCTAACTAAACAAACCAGCAATACTGATGTCTGAGTCTAGAAGCTACAAAGCTCTACATATCAGCTCTTCTCTTATACCTGGGTCTCACAAGGAATATTTGCTCATTCCCATCTCCAATGATAAGTGGACTAGCAGGAGAGATGTTAAGAATTCCAACGTAAATATGAGCAATAATAGATGTGACGTTGTATAAGTTGCAAAATCTGATGTTAAAAGACTAAAAAAAATGACACCAGAGTGTAAATATCGCTATCATACCTGGGTGCGTGATTAATGAGGGGCTGTGCCTTGTACTTGGGGAACTTGTAGGACTTGAACTCGTCGATGGAGGATATTCCAGGCCAGCTGTCTTCTGTGGGAGTGCCTGTGAAGGGACATTCAATCGACTCAGAGTCAGGCTTTAACGCGCCAGCTGGAGGGGCTTTTTACGCTGCCACGGGGGCTACATGCCAGGGTTAATGGGATTAAAGGCTCATATTAAAGGGTCGACGTGTCCCCCGTCAGCAGGGGGCAGCACTGACCTAGCAGCCGGAAGATGAGGTGCAGCTCATCCTCCACCGTGGATCCTGGGAACAGGGGCCTCCCGGCAGCCATCTCATAGAATATACAGCCCACACCCCTGACAGGAAGACACACACAGGAAGGAGAAGGTCACGACTGACTGAAGCTTTGATACCAGCCCTACTTAACAGGTCTTCTGTATCTGAACTACCACCAACTTACTGAAACTAACTCTTTGAAGTGCACGCACAGTTTCAATCTGTCTGACAAATAAAACATCTAAGGAAGAGGCAGGGATTAATTTAAGAAAGCAGCATGACACATTGAAGTTTAGAGAAACCATTCATGGTCAAATTCTCCAGCAGATTACATGTATTCATTAGCAGCAAGTGCCACATCAAAGTCTCTTTACTGCAGATTTGGACACCTGCCTGCTCATAAGAGGCCCAGCTAACTGAAAAAGCGCCAAACATCTGTGCTTATTCCACAAACCACTGAAGTGGCTAGAGATGTAAAATAAACACATTTACTAATTCATGATACGAGTTATATTTGCCTGCACCTTCACTGCAGCCATATGGAAATAAAGTAGCCGGGAGTCTCATTAGAGCATCCTAACAGTTGTAATTAAGCCTGTAGAGCGAGGCCCACTCACCACATGTCTATCTGTGTGGAGTACTCCGAGGAGCCCAGCAGCACGTCGGGAGGCCGATACCAAAGTGTTACCACCTCGTTAGAGTATGTTTTAGTGGGCACAGACTTGGCCCTCGCCAGGCCTGTGGAGCAGAATTATGAGGAAAAAAAAAAAGAAGAGGAGATCCAACACATTCAGAAGCAGCTCATGAAATTCACATGAAGGGTTTTTTATTTTAAATTGCCAAATATTCACCAGGTTTTAAAAATGGCTCAGTCACGCAATGTTAGTAAAATATGGATTAACTCACAGATTAACTTTAGAAATGTAAAAACCACAGGCATTTTTTCATCTAAGCAGTAGAAATATGACATATAAAACAAAAATATGGCATGAGTTTTTACCAAAGTCAGCCAGTTTGAGTTCTCCTCTGTCATTGATGAGCAGGTTTTGAGGCTTCAGGTCTCTGTGGAGAACTTTCCTTCTATGACAGTAGGCCAAACCTCGCAGGATCTGGAACAGAAAAATCTGGGGAAAGAAAGTTTTATGTTAAAAGATGAAAATAAAAAAAAATTGTTGCAGATGCTGTTGCTGAATTACAGAATCATCAAGTGTATCTAAACACATTCAGGAGAGTGAAACTGCACTGAATTGGATCATGGCAATTTATAACATTTGCAGACTCCATCTCAACAACCTGTCTCGTTCCAAAAGACAATGAATTTTCAACAATCGCATTTAAAAGTATATTTTGTAGAAAAGTAAGGTTAAAATAACCACAGTAATTCACTGTCGACACTCCACCACCAGGGGTCACACTAACAGTGTTTCTAGCACTGACACCAGCAACCACAAAGTCTTGACAGTTGATGAAGGTGGCCAGGGCAGCAGGCCGCCTGCAGAGGCTCACCTTGACATTCTGCATACTCAGGATGTTCCCGCAGTCGTCCATGTACTGCTTAAGGTCTTTGTCCTAGACGAGAGGAAGGGCGTTAGAGTGGAGGGGCTACAGGCACAGAGACTGCAACAGTTGGTGAGCGAGCTCTACTCTGCAGAGGGTCATGAATAATAATTATGTGAAATACATTCATTTTAGCATCCCTGAGAATAACATATGAGTCATGCAGGAGGTGAGGGCAGAGGTTCAGCTGGTCTCACCAGGTATTCAAAAACCAGTGTGAGCGACTTGTCCGTGTGGACGATATCGTGCAGCGTCACGATGTTGGCGTGTTTCAGGTCCTTCAGTAGAGACACTAAGGAACACAAAAGAGAAGACAGTTATAGCGGTGAGGAAGTGATTGCACTCAGCTTATTCTCTTTCATCTTTTATATTTTACTTTGAGGGCTCTGGGTTCACTCTGATCAAGCCAAGAGAAGTGTATTTATTAATCTTTCAGTCTTAGAAAAAGCTATTAGACTTAGAAAGAAAGCTTCCGAAGCTCATCATGTAACAAAACATGTTGCAAACATCACTCTCCTACAAGGTCCCTTTAGCCTTGCAAAACAACAAGAAAAAACTGAGCCCCATTCACCCAAATAAAGGATGTGTTGTCACGGTTATATGCACGTAAATCAATATTGAGCAAAGCAATTAAAAATTTAGTTCAGTAGTGTAATGCTGTGCTAAACACGGTGATGAAGCACACTTGAATAATTCAATTCTGCATCACCGACCACAGTGCATCAGTGTTTCTACGGGCTGACGGTGCACATCTGTGCCGCCAGTGTTGCACAAAGATGAAATCTAAACTGTGATTCCACCTCAGCTGGCACTGAAAGTAAAAAAAAACACACGCTTGGATTGGACTTCAGGAGCAGTGACTGGAACAAGGAGTGGATATTTGTGGGAAGTAAAATGACATGTTGGTGTTGTTTCCTATAGTTTGTGTTAGGCTCTCATTCCAAACTAAACACAATGAATTTCTCTTGGGAGGTGGGGAAATGTGCAGGCACTCTGGGAGAGTTATTTACTGTATGTGGACCAGAGTTCAAATGTCACACACACAGCAAATCAACTCACAACACTAAATGGTTCTGCATTGGTGACTGCATAGCAATAGGTTGTTGCTTGTCATCAAACTCTACGTCTTTGTACCTTCTCGGATAGCTGTGCATGGTGCCCCCTCCTCGTGCTCCAGTCTGATCTCCTTCAGCGCCACCAGGTTGTCTGTGAGTTTACTTCTCCCCTTGAAGACTGTAGCGTACGTGCCCTGGAGAACCGGAAGAGAAGAGAAATGTTTCAGAAGCTGGACAGCTCAGTTTGCTTATCAGGGGTTAAAAGTAAACTCTGTAACTATGTCCGTGTGCGTTTTATCAGTCACTATGAGAACATTAGCACCTGTGAGGTGAGAGAGAAAGGAAGTCAAGGTTAACAGGCTCACGTACCTCCCCCAGTTTGTCCAGTTTAATGTAGGTCTCCAGCTTCCCAAAGCCAATTTCTGACTGGAGGAAAGAAAAAGGACAAACAGCATTAATGAGGGTGGCGTCTTTATTAGCACTGACAAGCTTACAGACACCACGACAAATCCTTATGACGGCCTCGCAGCATCGAAGAGGGGGGTGTAAGGAGGTCACACACCCAGAGCACCATCAGCACTAATCGGCTATGACAAAGGACTGTTGGCTTTTGGCTTTTACAATGTGTTTATGAACAACTTAAGCAAAGGCAAACTTTATTCATAAAGCACGCTGAGAGAAAAATCTTTGTGAAATTATGAATTAAATTTTCTGAGCAAAACACCAAAGAATTAGCACATTTCAGCATCTCTAATGTGTGGCTGTTAAGCCTTTCTTTGTCATCTATTAAAGGAATCACTATTTGAAGTTCGGACGGTAACTGAACAAAACAAGTTATCTAAATGCATCACCTTGGGCTGAGGGAAACGATATCACCTTTTATTTTTCTAATACTTTAGAGATGCGACGGGTTGGTTGATTGATCGAGAAAATGATTGAATGATGATTGAATGATAAGAGACAATGTCATTGCTTGCAGGCATTATGCACTTCAGAGGTCAAAAAAGAGAAAAAATGTATGTTGTACTTCACAACCACTCGGTTACAACCTGACTGCATACAAACTATTCACTAACATGCACTATTGACTGAGGCTGCTTTTAAAAAAGCTGCAGTCTGAGGTCATCCTGTGTTCTCAGGGGAGCTTTGCAGCAACTGGGAGAACAAGAACTAAAGGCAGCTTCACCAGATTAAAAACTGACTGAAGGTCAGTGCCAGGTGAGCTGAGAGGTCTGGGTGTCAAACGAATTTTGAGCAAAGCCATTCAATGCTTTATAAACAACTCCGCAGGGTAGTGTGTATGCAAATGAGGTGGCCTGTGTGAGGCAGAGTGTTACTTACTCCTGTGTTCTGCTTTTAACAGCTGCACATTCAGAGGAAAGCCAATTACTGAGGCTGCTGACAAAGTGAATGCTGAAGTGCAATATAAACACATGACAACAGGCTGGAAGGATGAGATTCGACAGTGTAAGTGCAAGGCCGGAGCTTTCACTTCTGTGTCTTGCTGCTTTTAAATAAAACATAACTCTCACAGCTATCTTTATCGCGTAGCCTCTCGCTGACCGCCGCTCTGTTTCTCATTCTGCCGGATTCTCGTCCATTGCTGATTCTCAAATCAGTACTCTGTGCTCTCAGACGTGGGCATGAAGTACTGTACGTTTATGTAAGCAACAGGAGGGAAGAGCACTTTACTCTTTAAAAAAAAAAATCTATCTCCATAATATTTCCCAGAGAAATATTGTTTCAGTGCTGCTATATTAATCTTTCAGTTGTAGGTGTTAGTTACTGTAGATCAGATTTTATCTCCCAAATGTCATAAATGACTCAGGCAGGGGATAAAACGCCATAAATCAATACATATATTTGTCATTTTACAATGACATGACTCTCCCTTTAAACTCCTTTTGCTGGTGGTTAAACCCCTAAAAACTCCCTTTTGTTTATCAAAGTTACAAGTTTAAAAGTTTTTCCATTAAATCATTCCCTTCCCACCTTGAAATGGCTTTGGTGTCGCTCTAAGATGTTCCTCCTCAGTTCCATGCCTCTAACTCCCCCAGAAAGTACGACGCTCCTGACATTACAGGTACGTACAACAACCTAACATCAATAACTTCCTTACTTACATAACATACTGCTAACACAAACTTCTAAAATCCTGTTCTCAACTGATTTTTTTAGAAATGGCAATTCAGTCTGATCATCAGGCAACATCTTTCAAAGTACAACCTAGCTGCTTAGCCTCTAAAGTGTCATTAAACAGCGAAAATAGCTCATTGCTCTTTTCTAAAGCCCAAGGTGACCTAAATGTTTAGTTTCCTATCAAACAAAACCTCACTATTGAGCGGTTGAAACAAGGGCACTAATGGGAAATGATTTTAAGAGGTGTTATTATGCACATTTACAGATTTTTTAAATTGAATTTCTGGGGTGTATTAGAGTATGTTTATATGTCTTAGTGTTAAAAAAAAAACAAAAACGTATGATTTCTGTCATGCTATACACTGCTGAAGAAGCTCTTCTCATTCTCTTTAAAGCTGCCCTCACAAACAGTCTGCTCTTAATGGTCAGCTTGCCCGATGAAGGCAAGGCGATGCTGATTACATACTATAACCTCAGATCTCTGAGTCTAAAAATGTATCAATAGCTGAAGCAGCTCCAGCGAGGAAACAATGGAAGTTTGTGAGGGAGCTGCTGTGTCAAACTAACTACTAGTAGGGCGTCATACAAATGCGTTACATGGTGATGTAGATAAGGAACGGAAGAAAAGTCTGGACCTTAAACAAGGTTTTTCAGGCAGGTAAGGAGCAGTGATTTGAGTGGGAGAGAATAACTCCCTTTGGTGTTGACTATCAGTTTCGGAAGTTTGCAGACCTTTTAAAATGCAGCTAAATAGCACACTAAAAGAAAGGGAAACTCCAATATGGGCTTTTCAAGGTGATTGTCAAAACAACTGACAATCATTTATTTCTCTATTGATTAACTGTTTCAACCTTTCTTCCAGTTTGGCAAAATACAGAAATTGAATGCACAGATTTACAAACTGTAATTTGTGTCTCTGCTGTTTGTCCTCAACGTAAAAGCACTCCAGCGTTCTCAAAACCTGACAGTGTAAGGACGCTGAGCTAAAACTAATGACTGCGTGAAATCTTTGTTTGTCCTCCTAAAAATAAAGCACAGTAGTTAAGCAAGTTACACCTGGAAATCAGTGTTTTGCTTAAAAATAAAACATTTCAGGATGAAATATGATCAGCAGCAAAAAAAACTAAACAAAACTGAAAGGTGATTTCCCTGTTTACTTTGTATTCACTGTGTCCCCTTTTCCTTTCCCTTCTGTCTCATCGCCACCTTCTCTCTTATTTCTTCGATCTCTAAACCAGTTTCTCACCAGTGATGCTCTGCGGGAGCGTCGGCTCAGCGGCTGGTCAAAGGGTGGGCTGCTCAGCTGCAGCTTCTCCAGGTAACCGTCAGGTATCCGGATGTCGGCCGGCAGGGACAGGCGTTTGTTCAAGTCCTGTACACACACACAAACGGATAAAAACAAGAGAAGCAATTTAAAAGAGTGTCAAAATAGTGTACAACACCGAAAAAGTAAATAAAAAAAAACCCTGAGCAAACAGTGTAAGCTCTGAATAAATACCAATGATCAACAACAAAATGGCAGAAACCCAAAGGAAGCAAGCAGAAATCCTGCTTTAGGCCTCATTGATCAACAGTGAGGGTCGTGTGTGTATAAATACACACGTTGCAGCATGCGTGTGTACAGGTTTGTGTTTTAGTCATGTGTTTTTGACAAAGGCTGCCGGTGGAGTCCTTTAGGAGCTCAGAGTAAAGTGTTTCCTCAGAGCAACAAAGTACGAAAGCATGATGACTTGTTACATAAAATGAAACGCACACTCACAATACCGCGTCTGGATTCTTCTCATCATGCATTTTCTCTATTTGCTAGATTACTGTTAAGCCGGCCTCCCCCTCTCTCTCTGTTTCTCTCTCCCGCTCTCTCTCAGTTGCTTTAAATCTACTTCCACTCCCTCTGAGGTAATACTGGACGCTTCGTAAAGCCCCATCGCTCCATCTCTCCCTCCCTTCCTCCCTCTTAGCCAACATACAGCAACATGCAACTTTGAACTTTTTCACATTTCAAAACAAGCCCGCTCACAAGCCGATCAATCTGTAACTGAAGGCGGCAGCTTTCTGGACGGGTCAACTGACCTTCAGCCTTTCGGTCAAACGGCGACAGTGACTCAGCTCTTTTGTGCCTCTGTGGTTGTTTACAGCTGACACACTAAGACATATGGTCAGCTTATAGGGATGTTTTAATTAGAATTTAAAAGAGATGATACTCTGGCGCAGAATGTAACCAAACAGCTGTCAGTTTTATTAGGTTTTTTTTTTTTGTTATTTTGTGAAGGACCACATACAAACACAGAAACAGTCCTTTCAAACAAACAGATCTATTTACTGTACATGTCTCAGTTTGTGCTGCCATAGAGCTGAAAAGATTTGTTATTGAATTAGCTGGTCGACAGAAAATTCAATTTGGAGCTGCAACTAATAATTAATTTCATTATCTGACTATCTTCCAGATTACTCAATTATTCACTTGGTTTATATACTTAACATTCAAATATCCCAAGTCAACATTTTTAAATCACTTATTACGTCTAATATAAGACAATGAAAAACATTTTTGTGGAGAGACAGCAAAAACTGAGCACTCTCAAATCTCAAATGTGAATATTTGCTGGATTTTTTGTGTGTGATTTATGACAGCTAACTGAATGTCTTTCAGTTGTTGTGAGTTGGCAGGCCAAAACTAATATCAACATGGGAAACTGTGACAATTTTTTCACAGTTTCCTAATTTTATGGACCAAACGACTGATGGCAGATTAATCGACAGTGAAAATTAAATCTTTAGTTGGAGTCATATAAATAACAGATGCTCGGTTTAGTCACAGGCTGCTATGATTTAAAATAAATGTCACATCTTGTCCTGCTGCTCTGTGGTTTCTGTGTGCAGAGCCAGGATTGGTGGTTTGTCCTCAGAGCAAGTGATGCCATCTACCACCTGACCTTTGCATCCCCCTCCGCCCTCCTCCAGTTGTCCAATCAACCCGTCCTAATCTGTTACAACAGGGGCCCATCTGGACCGTATTACAGTAATCCTTGTGATGTAATCCCAAAACAGCACTGCTTCCTCTGCAGTGAGACAAGGACAATCCACTACCTGACCAGACGGAGGGATGTTCTCACTCTTCCTCCTACTTTTCTTCTCTTTCTGCTGCTGCTGTCCCTTCTCTGAGTGTCACAGCAGCACAAAGAAGACAAAGAATGAGGCCACACAGTGACTTCACTGTTGGATCACTTCATCAACAACGGTCAATCACGCTGCTCGTACAAACAATGAACAGCGTCTGTTGGTGCTGCGACAAAGACCTTAAGTTCCACTGTGTGTGTGGTTATGTGCTCCGGTTCAAATAAACTTTTTCCGCTTGTGAAACAGTCACAGGAAGTGTGAGGTGAGCTGCCTGCACTCCCTCTCAGTGCACAGCAAGAGGCGATGTGTCATGTCTCTGTGTGTGGGTAGTCCCAAATGCAGAATGCTGCTTTAGAGCACTTTAAGAGACCTTTTCATCTTTTTTTTTTTCTCCTCATGCAGTCTTTCATGCTTGGTTTGTCTGTGCAGATGCTGCTATCTGCACGTAAATCCCCAGAGGTTCTGCAATCAAAGCAACTAGTAAACAGAAGGAGGGAAGTTTGTGTTTTTCAAATCACAAGACCCTTACTGGCTTGATCGCACGGCAGGTAGTGTGCAACATATGTTTCCCTGGCAAGATGGCAATCACAAATAAAACCATAAACACACACACAAGTATGGTACCACAAGAAAGTTGTCCTCTATACTGAAAACAGCAAGAATAAATGGATTTGGAGACAATAGATGGTTATGAATCAATTTCTTTACCATGTTTGTGTACTTTATTTCTACATATTTGAGAATGCTAAACTCAGCAAAAGTGTAAACATGAAAGGAACACGGTTTGTTGTCATTTTTTTGTCCAGCTCAGAGTGAAAGTGCACAGTCAGTTGTACTGACATATGTCAGGCGTACATCCCTAAAAATCCCATTAGCGGCAGTTAAGATGGATTTACGGCTCAGATTCTTGGCTTTGTTGTAAAGTGAAGGAAAGCCATAAATGCACAGCTTCGGATATTGATTTACAATCCACACATCATGTCTAAACTTCTGGTAAAATTAGAAGGTTCTGCCTGTTGTTAAAGTACTGCACATGTTGAGATATACACTATCTTCACAGTGTTTTAACATCTAGGACTGACTAAACAAACTAAAGAAGCATAAACCACTCATGTAATTGTGTCCACCATTCTCCTTAACTGCCACAGATAGTGTTAATCATTTAAGAAATATGAAATTTTTAAGAAAACCCCACTGAGCACCTTATACGTGTTAACTGAAGCTGACGTAGTGTTACTGCCGGTATTACTTCACAGCGGCTTCACACTGTTCCCTACCAGGCAAATGGATTAAAGCGTCCACTCTTGATCAAATTCTAAATCTGAAAGCACATCTGTCTTCCCAGGTGTGTGCAGCTAGGTGGTGTATTAAAATAATTAAATTAGCTAAAATGAAAAAAAATACATCCATATGGGCTTCCTCTGCTGACGCATAAACAAAACACCAGAAGTTGCAGTTTGAAATAGTTTTCTGGGCAACAGTGACATAAGCTGTTGCTGTTTCCCTGGAGACGGCCAAGTGAGCTTTGCTGGTCTGTTAATACACCCATAGGTCAAACACACTGGAAGACGTCTATTGCAACAGGATAAGACTGAAGAAAGATGAACATATTATTTCAGTGAAATAGAAACGGTTAAGTTTTGCAAATTCATGTCAGACAGCTACAGACTGTGTCGGCCTGAGGACAGGGCGACCCCGATTATATACAGTGTTTATAGTCAACTTGAATTTATTTTCCTCCAGGAAAGTAAAACCTGTATTCATAAAGTCCTGCAGGTTATACTGGGTCAATGAAACCGTTTTCGAACTGACTAACTGACTCTACATGTGTCAGTCTGTAAAAGATCATGTAACACCAGTGCGCTCCACATTCAAAAACAATATCTGATGTTATCAGCAAGCAGGCGTCTGCTCCTGGAGTGGAAGACAACGTCACCTTTTGTCTCGTAGAGGCCCTATGCCGGTAAATATTTGGTTTTGTTGTGTGTAAAACAGCATACTGGAAACCTTCCTTAGTCCAGTTATTCATTCGTCCACAGCAGTGCTACATTTAACAGACTTTTTTAAATTAAGCAAATAGTGTACATTTTATGGCATGATGTTTGTTAAATTATAAAGTGCTACTATTTTTTTTATTGTCGCACAGCTACTCCTCTCTTCACAATGTTTACCATATGTGAAGGGATTATAGCTTACTCGTGGTTCTTTTCTTTTATTGGTGTTGAATATATGTTCTTTCATGAGTTAATGTAAAGAGAAAACAATTCGTGAATTATCCATGAGACTATAAAAAATGTTTTGTTTTTTTTATAGATATCAAAAATTTAGAGTACATTTGTGGGACATATTGCCCAACACTAGTGTGGTGCAGATCAGGATGATTTTAACTTAACAGTGACTTACGTTTGTTCTCTAACCCTTCCACTTCATCGACTTGGGATATCAAAGATTTACTGCATTTAATATGTGCAAAATCCCACACACTGGGTTCAAAAAATGCTTGTGGTGAATTGAAATCCCTTTAGACAAAAAAACATAATAACAATCACAGTGAGAAGTCTTTCTGTAATGTGTTGACATTATGTAACCCCCGGAGGAATGTCAAAATCAGGCAGCCCATGACTCTGTGTGTGTGTGTGTGTGTGTGTGTGTGTGTGTGTGTGTGGATATGGTGACGACTGTGAAACCTTTCTAAAACAGATTTTAAAACAATGTTCGGCTGAAAAATATGTCGAGTCACATTGCATATGTGCATCTGTGTCCAGATTATGCGAGCAGCTGAGCACTTGTGCGTGTTCATGACACACTACGAGAAAACGCCCACGCTGAGTTACAGCATGAAGCTGCACATCCACTTCTTGCAGAAAAGTTCATTGTCAAATGATTTCTTTCCTTTCTGAGAATCAATCAAAACATTCGCTCACTGATAAAGCCGAAGTTGAACCACTAAAACATACACGACCACCGATGACTAAATGATAATCACTCACAGTGACTCACGTCCATCTCAACAACATATCCTCGATTTATGAAGCAGAAAGGTTACGCCAGGACAGTCTGAAAACACAAAAACACGTCTCACCTCTGCAGAGATGCGCCTGTTCCCCCTGTTCCTCAGACAAACACCCGTGGGTGACTGCACCTCATCAGAGGAAGTCCCCGATGCCTGGTCGCTCTCTCCGTCCGATCCCATCTTCAGGTTCTCATGGACGATATCTGGAGAGGAGAAAGAAAAGTGTACAGACAGGAAAAAGGAGGATGAGGGCTTGAGTTTGACAAATGGAGCAGGTCTGTGGAAACACGGCTCAGTTCAACACAGGCTGATGACTTCAACAGGAAAGAAAAACACTCTGTTGGACACTTTCACGCATTCTTCTGTTCTTATCGAGCTCCTGGCTCTAGCTGGAGGAAGGTACAGAGAAGTAAATAAGTTTTCTTTTTAATACATGAAAAGTAAATGTCCTTTTCCTCCCTGGGCATAATGTTCATGTTCGAAAATTGCATGAATGTAAATATTGTTGGGTAGAGAATCCAAGCTGCTGATTTGCTAAGACTTTTTTTCAACTACTACTCATGTGTATGTGTTTGCTTCCATATGCCTCTAGCAGCGGTTAGTTTTGTTAGTTTGTTAGTTCTGTAAAAATGTGTAAAACAAGGAGTTTACATGTAGATATTCTAAATGTTTATTAAAAAGATAAATCTGCCTCTTACAAGTTTTGAATGTGGCTAAAAGTCTTGAATACAATGTGCTCACTCTAGCAACCTCTAAACAAATTCTGCATCTTGACACAAAAGAAATCTCAGGCACCATCTGTGTTTGAAGTTGGAACAAAGACAAAACACTAAATGTGAGCGTGGACGGTGTGTGCGTGTCTCACCAAGGCGACTGCCGTTGCGGGGCATGACCATCAGAGAGCCCAGGCCTCCTCCGATGACGCTCTGAGGCCGTCGTAGTGGCGGCTTTTTAAAAGAGCCCGTGTACTGGTGAAGGAAAGAGTGGACACTGTGTGCTGATGGAGGACGGCCGTTCCTCACTATGGGCTCTGCGGGAGAAGACAAACATGTTTTTAAGATGGTGACAGAGACACAAATCTTTTGTGCAAAATGTGGATGCACAGTGCACTGTGGTTGGCTGAGCATACAAGCACAGCGACTGAGGTACACTGATTTTTATCGCGACGCTAACAAAGAAACGGTATGAGCTGCTTAATACAGCCACTATCAGCTCAATGATGGAGATGTATTCTGAAAGTCTCACTGTGTAAATTAGGCATATATGCTAATGTCCTCAAACGAGACAGCATACATGACAAATTATTATTCTATTATTCTACAAGTTGGAAGCTCTATCACTTTATACACATATTCTCAATTTTAAAATGTAATGTTTGTGGTATGTTTCATGTATGAGGGTTAAGTATTTAAAAACAAGATCTTAAGTTTTCATAAATCATAAAAAGCTTAATTAAGTTCCATTTTCCAGCAAATTTAGCAAAAACTCTAAAAACAAAATCCAACTGGGTGACAGCTCGGTACCTTTTAACAGTAACCGGTCAGTGGTGAGCACATGAGAAACATTTGCTGGCTAACTGACTACCAGCTCTCTGATGCACTGACATATACTTTAGTGGTAAACAAGGAACCACCTGACTGCATTAAATAATCACTCTTACATAAGAGGTGGGTTTTAACGCATCATACACTGATGTAAACAGATTTGTATGTTATATATGTTTACAGCTTTGACTTTGTAAGAGACATATGCATGCTGAACTGAATAAAAAAAATTTTTTTTCCACAATTATACAACAGAAAAAAACAAGAAAACAGTCTGACTGAGAACAAAGAACGGAGCCAACATCCAGCAGAAAAGAAGCACAAAGAGAGAAACAGGGATGATTAAAGCAAAGAAAGAGAGAAAACAAATGGGCTGCTGTACAAAAGACTCTGCAGTCTAAATTAACAAGTTTCTAAGTAACAGTGTTCATCCTGCCTATCAAAAAAAGCTGTATCCAAACTGATGTGATACAATCTAATACCAATGTACTTCGATTTTTACTTTTCCCACAGCCTCACACTGAATCGAGGATTGCCTAATTATAAACAAAGCCAAAGAGTTGCAGTTTTGTCTCTCTTCTCAACCAGCGTAACCCCTAAACTGTAAATAACCCATATCACAAGTAGGAAAGCGAGAGTATATATGTAAACAAACGCCTTGTAGTGTGAGCTGTGTAGTGGAGGGCTTAAAAAAAGGGTCTACAACCAGCTGACAGGGGAGCATTTGTCTGAAAGCACGAATGGAGCTGACAGAGGTGAAAGATTTATTACGTATAGAGTAGCACCTAGTAAAACACCAACTGCGACTGTGGTGGAGAAAATGGAGCCTCAGAGAAGCTGCTGAGCAGCAGTCAGAGCTTGTACGAAGGAAACTGCAGGACATGTGCAACAAGGGCAGCGAGGATTAGGACAGGACGTAAGGCAGCAGTTACAGAGCAGATAGTTCCATCATTGAAAAGAATAGTGGTTATGGATTACATATACTGAAAGCAGGCTCAGAGAGAAAGGTGTTTTTATGACTTTTTGTGCGATGATTTTACAGTCCACTGCTATTTGTCACCATCTGGTTTGGGACAGCCCTTAGCTTGATGAAGTCTCCACACTCGCATGTGAACACAGGCAGAGCGGGTAGGAAACCGTGTGCTGACTGAGGATGCTATGAGGATGTTTGCAATGGGCTGTGCCAGAACAGACACACTACTTTTTTTTTCTTAAAGACAACTACAAAAACATTTTATTAATGTACAGACACAAAGCAACAATCAAGCTAAGTTAACAATCAAGTTAATACACATTATCAACTTGCATCTCATCATCACCACTACCCCTTTCCTAATCATTCACTGATTTGTCCTTTTTTTTAGTTTCCAAGATCAACTGATTCTCGGTGCATTTTAAATCCTAAAATTAAGCTCACACAATTCAGGCTGCCTTTTTGAGGCTGATTCATCGAGCTGTGGGTGTTCAGGTCTTGCTGAGCTATAAAAACAGATTGCACTGTGCAACAGTTTTGCCAACACAGATGTCAAAACTTTGGAACATTCTGTATGTCCTATATTACAACCCAACAGTGTCTATGTTGTTGTTGTTGTTGTTGTTGCAACTTTCAAACTAACGCTTCAAGACACTAAGATGTATATGAAGTACTTCCTAGATTTCAAATGAAAACTGAAAAATATACAGCCATGTAATATCCAGATCCTTATGCCACATCTCTCTTATCTCTGGGCAGCTGCTGCCGCCGCTGGCCTGAGTTATGACTGTTACATAATCAGATCAGGACCAGAACGCTTTCCCCAATCACAGAGTTCAGATCAAATCTCATCTGGCTACTCCATTCTGTCTCCTCTCTACCCTGCTTACTGTTACACAGGCTGCTAAAATCCCCTCACGCAAGCTCTCTCTCTCTCTCTCTCTCTCACACACACACACACACACAAAAACACACAACATGATTGTGTGTCCCCACTCACCAAGCACAGAACACTCTGGCCAAAGTTGGTGTTAATCACTACACAAAAAGCTCTTTACAAAGCCCTGTTAGTTCTCAGAAGGCGGTGGGAGTGAGTGGGGGACTTGGATGATCTGATTGATTTAAGGAGGAGAAAGGTTGGGGGGGGCAGTCGATGTGGCCAAGAGAGAAGAAGAGGAGCAGAAGGATGCAAAAAACAAAAAAAAAATGGAGGGGTGAGGGAAATGGATCAAGATGCCTGGCTGGTTTCACCAAGTCATCCAAGTCGCTGTGGCAATGTCATGGAAACTCTAGAATGTTTCCAGACCCTGAGCGCCATGGCAACGACGTGGTAGCACACCGAGGCATGCTCCCTCCCTCGCTCCCTGCAGATTTTGTGAATATCAGCAGAGATAAGCTGCTGTGCCACTCTGCTTTTATTTGACGCCTTGAAGGCCACAACCTTCAGCAGGATCCACACGGAGGATAAACAAGTGCAGTGTGTCGACAGCAAGGCTCACCATGGACATCTCTGTAAAATTCACATTTATTTTTCTGAATAGCTGAAGTTAATTGACTCCCAGTAATAGGGCTTCCGAGGCTTGAATGAACATAACACTTCCCCAGCTGACTTTATGAGAAATTATTTGAAAATATATATGAAAAACTATGCACATAAAAGCCTAAAGGCAAAATCAACGAGGACTCCAGTCATCAGAGTATAAAACCCTGTTGCTAATGGCAAGCTGAAGCTGAAGATTACACTTAGTAGACATTCAACAGTTTAACTGAGTCTACTTTGAAATTCTGGGTCAGTGTTAGATAAAATGTGGATTTGGATTTAGATAAAAGTGCGGTACAAATTAAGTCCATTAAAATGCAGACGCTAAATCCCATTTTAGACATGCACTTCATTACATAAATGTGCTGGGAATTTTACATCACAGTTCAGCGTTTGAATAAATCAAATCAAACAGACTCGACTGTGTTATCAGTGACATTTTGTGTGACCTGGGTCCCGAACTCTAACACCCTGAGTCACTTTTTCATAAAAGATTATGCCATGGCAGCCATCTTAGTTGTTAATAGTAGTGGTTCACGTTTTGCTCATTCATTTGGTGATGGAGAGAAAACGTAAATTAACAGCAGCATACATTTTAAAATCTATACCTGCTACAGACTTTTAAAGGGCTCCATACACATTATGTTAAAGCATTGTGGCTCTACCCATAACTGTCCTGTCGTGTCTGAATAAAACTAAGAATTTACATAACAAAGACTGTGAAGGTAGCAATGAGTGTATAAAATCTTCCATCACTGGTTACATCTATTATATAAAACTAAATCCATGTTTTCTTTGATAAACTGTTTTTTTATGGGAAATACACTGAGAAACTATCTGTGTCGAGGAACGCTGAGGATGTCATCAGAAAGAATCAAATGTGAATTTACAGAGATGACAAATATTCTTCCACTTTGCAAAATTATGTAACTCAACAGGGTTTTTCCTGCAGAAAAAAGTTTAAGCCCATGTCAAAGGAAAATCCCCTGCAGCAAAATTTTAGGAAGTAAGAATAAATGTATTTTTGTTGGGGGCTTTAATGTGATACTTGGGAATTGTATTTACTCGAGCATAATATATTTTTTGCTTCACAAATTGTCAGAAATAGGAAAATGCACAGATTTCTGTCAAATAAGACAACACAGACTCCTTGTCTTTACTGTACAGTAATCATGTTTCACCCCCCAAAGGCCCATTCTGAGACAAAAAACAACCCGATCAACACTGACAAACTGCAAAACAAAACTCACCGCTGTCTTTCAAGCCGTTCTCTTCGATAGTCATCTGCTCGGCCAACTCAGACAGCGACTCGTCGATGGTGTGGCTGCCTCGTAACGTCTGTGAGAGACGTCGCTTAAAACGCTTCATCTTCTCCATGGAGCTCTCAGGAAGGGGAGGCCTGAGGGTGACAAAAAAATTGCACTGAAGTTGTCGGTTGTTGTGACCCATGTAGGACAATGATAAGAAAAGAAACGGCTTGTTTTAGTAACACAAGTACACTCTTACTATCTAAACTGTAGGCCTTGACATTTCACTGACTGAAATCTAAGAGAATACACCTCATTCAGTTGAAGATATATTTCACAATAATCCCACATCAAGAGTGAAAAAGCTGTGAGATCACCAGGAACAATGACACGGACCGATCTACACTCAGACGTTAATTATGACTCAGCTCATTCAGGCACAGTACTTTACATTCCTGGCCCTGGGAAAGCATGACAAGTCGGTGAGAGATTCTTACGGGTGAGTTTAGAGTACGGTCCCTGGCACACCGGACTGTAAAAGCAAATCCTAAACCGGGGGGATTAGCAGCTGAATGGTGCGGGACTAGCCTGGGCCACATCGAGTCCACATCACACATTCCAGCCGCATTTACTGTGTGCATGAGAGTGACTGATTTAGAGAGCTACAGAATACATGTGCGTTTGAGAGAGAAGGAGGGAAAAACAGCGATTGTGTGAGGAGAGGGGAAAGGTTGCAAATCAACACAAGACAATATTTGGGACAGTTGGAGGAGCGGATTACGAGCAGCCTCTCCCTGTGACCTCAATGTAGAGATCATGACTCCACTTCTGCTGCAGATCTGGACATGTGCCTGTTTGTGATGCTGATGAGTAGAGCCAGACATGAAAACACATGAGTAGCACAAACCCTCAGGGCTCCCCGTCAACTGTTCCCTACCGCCAGCCTTTTGTCTTCCTAATATCACTAATAACTTGATTTCTGTCCAGAAACACGACTTACTCACTCAGGCAGGGTCAGTGGAAGGCTTTCTGGGCTCTGGATAGCATGCTCGTGGACAGAGGCACGGCTGAAAACTAGGGCTTCCCTTTAAATAACGATAACTCATCAGTTAAGGGGCCATGATGTGGACTTCAACTTGTCAGTAGATGTTTTGCTGCCATTGTAGAAGAAACAACACAAAATACCAGTATGGCAGAAGCCAGTTTTTGTATCAAGACTGCTGAAACTTACAACTATTTTCCCCTCATTAACAGTACATTTTTCATGAATTTATGGAAAAATGTTTACTTTCTGAGATGACAACATGATGTCTCCAAAAAGCTCCTACAGTCCAGAATCCAAACATATTCAATTTATTACGTGTGACAGAGCAGCTGAAAATACATATGTGGTATCTGTGCTTGATGAATTCATACTAACACTACGATATTCATACTAATCATTGATTTTACTATAGAGGCTGTTAGAAAGTATTCACGAAAACTGGCAAATCCTATTAGATTTATAATAATGTGGTCCAACAACTTGACAACAGAAGCTGCCGATTAGCAAACAAGACAGATGCGTCACTTTATAACTTTCATTTCTCATAAACAGCCAACATCTGTTGGTGAAGATGCCGCACCTGGGATGAGAAACAGGCCGTGCAGCTGCTGAATCATCTTTTAGTTAAGAGCTACAGCGACTGGTTTTTAAAAAAAAATAAAAAAAGAAGCATGCTGCGAGTTTTAAAATGCAGCGAGCCTGTCCCCTTTCGCTGCACACAGCGGACAGCAGCAATCGTCTGCCTAAACTGGGCTTCAGGCCAAAGCAAATGAGGACAGCGCAAAGACGAAATATTAACCTCCACATCGTGAGTACTTAAAATACACAACAAAACTTCAGACACTCACAGCTTCAATTAGAAGTAAAGCAACAAAAAAAATCCTATTTGAATAAAATGGCGACGTAAAATGACATCAGCTGAGAAGTCCTCAACCCTCGTCTCTCACTATGTTTCTAGATATCCCATGCATTCAAATAAATGCAAAAAAGCTGGAAGAAAAATCACCTCCAGCATGCTCACAGTTAACCAGAACTGGACACGCAACTGAAAGGTTATCAAAATGACAAGCTGCCACTTCCTGAGTGCACATATCAAATATTTCATTCAGGAAAATGCGGCAAATCCACAGGTTCTTAAGTAGAACGCCTGCTGCACTCAGCTACAGACAATTTCCTTTTATTAGGTGCGCTTGTACAACTCATTTCAGTGCAATATACCAGCCCTGTCATAACATCGACATAACTGAGGTTACAGTGAAGGCACTCTTACAGCACACTACACTATACTGAGGTATTTACATAGATAAGAGTGGCACAAAGTTAGAATCTAGAGCCACAAACAATGAGCTCAGTGCTAGAATATGACTTAATTACCACCTCTTTGACGATGCTAACAAAAAAGAAATGTTACAGGGACCATAAATGTAAAATTGATGGCGTAACAGCTGCATGGGATTGTATTAGATTGGTTACCCATTAAGGATACTTTAACAAAATAATATTAGCTTGAGCAGCTTTTCTCCTACATTCATCCTTACTTCCCATCTGTGTTCGCAGTCAAGAAACAATCAATCTAATTATTCCAGGAACCAAGAAGAGGGAGAACGTCAGCTCCACTGTCATAACAGCTTCGCATCAGTCAGTTCCGCCTCGTGACACATCAGCTCCAGCACGGGCAAGCAGTCTGTCATCTCCTGAACAGCTCACTGCGTTCCCCACTCTCTTGCTGCAGTCTCACACACAGGCTGCGACATGCGTGCCGGATAGAGAGAGTGCGCTCAAGTCGGATACAAAGCAATTTCTTCTCCACTGTTGAAACGTGCCCTGAAGGAGGCGAGGCGAGGCGACAAACACTGGTGATTTAATAGTCTGTCCATCAGAGCAACTGCCTTCTGTTTTCTCTCTTCTTTTTTTTTTTTTTTTGTTTCCGCTGAGCAAATTCCCAGCGTGTTTTGGATCTCTGTGTAAATTAACATTTTGATTAGAGCTGAAGCACCGAGTCAATTTACTAATTAGTTAATCACCAGACAAAAGTGACTGGCAAAAGATTTGATAAGCAACTAAATGCTTCAGTCACGTATTCGAGAAAAAATGTCAAATATTCGCTTCTTAAATGAGAGGTGTTGTGGTTTGAAAAATCTGTCAGTCTGACAAAACAAGATATATGAAGAAATCACTGTAGGCTCTTTGAATCTTTCCGACAACAAAGAATAAATCAAAAACAGGAATTGACACACTAATCAATAATAGATCAGAATCGTTAGCTGCAGCCCCTGTTTCTGACATTACCCTAGACAGCCAAAATCCTTTGTTGTGTTTACAATCATTGGGATAAGCTCAAATCAGGATTATGTGGCACCAATTTGGAATAAACTGACAGGCCTTTCTTTGTTGGGTTTTTGTAGTTGATCTCTCCTAGGTTTCCATGGAAATATCAAGAATCCCCACTTAATTTATGAATATACATGATAGAAGAGCACAAGTCTTAAATAACCAGAACATGACCTACTATCCAGCAGACTCTGACGATACAAATCACTTCTGAGAGTTCTGACTGGAAAGTCAATGGCAGCAATAGGACAGGCAGAAGAAGAAGAAGAGGGGGGACTGTCTACTGTGCACCCGTATCCGCTGGCCTGTGTTCCTGCTCTGGGATCGAGTGTAGAGCTTTGGACATGATCCCTGCTCTGAGCCTTATCCCTGCTCCCATAAGTAGGCCGGTCTGAGGTCTGAGCTCCAGATCCGCTGGGAGGCGGCCAGGGAAGAGGAGGAGGAGGTGGAGGAGGAAAGGAGGAGGAAGAGGAGGAAGGGTGATGGTGGGGGGGGGATGTGGAATGAGGGGGTCCGAGCGCTGTGCTGATTCGGGATTTGTTGCTACGGCAACCCCCACTGCTTTTTCCATGCTGAAAATGCAGAGCACTGCAGGAGACTGTATGCATGCTGATTTTCCGATTCCCTCCATCTTATATCCCACAGCAAACCCAGCGCCCCTTCCGCTGCAGCAGCTCCCTGCAGTTTCATCACCTAAACCAGCCATCAATACCCTCCATAACATGGTTTGCCTTACAAACAAACTGCCATCCCCTCCGGTCTGCTACGCTGCAATTTCCACCCCTGTTTTCCTGGCAGTACAGTAGGCAGGAGATGGTGGAGGAGATGCGGGGTGGGGGGGGTGGGGACGAGAGAGGAGGGCGCTTAGAGCATTATAGATGCTGCAGTGGTGAGACAAAAGCCATATGCTGTGTATGGATTCTGTCCTTTTCTTGCTGCAGTGGCCTATGAACACTAACTGTGCTGATGATGAGCAGGGAGCTACTGAAAGGGTAAGGCCAGCATTCCCGCTGTGAGGAACCACCACCCCCCAACGGCAGCCCTGCAATCCCAGACTAGTGCCTCATAAGCCACCATCACTGCAGAAGTCAGTGTAATTGCCCCATTTCAGCGTGATGAACCAATCATACCACATCTACCATCCCTGCCGCATGTTGACTGCTGTGTGGGCCACACACAGAAACAGGAAAAGCAAGGTCGTCACCTCTATGTGACCCCTACAGGGTTCAGTAAACCTCCTCATGTCACTGCCTTCGGGGGCCCTAGAAAACGCCTGCCTGCGTCTCCTCCCCGGCTGCCTCGCTCACAGAAGAAGACAGAGAACAAGCGTGACTCTTGGCATGATTCACGGGTGAGCTCAGCCTTGGTTTTCTAAAGAGCAGCTTTTTCTCAACCTGGCCAAGACAATGAGGACATGAGTGAAGGAGCTGGCTCCATTATGGGGGCCTTGCATAAAGGCTGCATTGTGCAGAGTAAAAAGTAGGCTTTTTCAAGAGATGCAGGATGTAGTGGGGTGCTGCGTGGAGCTGAGCTGAGCAGCGCTGAGCATGGCAACCAGGCAGGCATGCCCCCCACCCACACACACGCACACTGCAGCAGGTGAAGCTGTAACAGTAAAATCTGTTTGAATGTCACAAAATGTGTCATCAAATTTGCCTCCTTTCTTTGCTCTTTTTCATTCACACCAAGACCTATTTTTTTTTTCCCTGTTTCACACCTGTCACACATGTCACCTGTTGTGGGGAGATGCTGACAAACGGGTCAGTGTGTGTGTTT